TCCGTTCGTGGATCGGCCACTCCCTAACCCAAGAGATTGCTGCTGGTTTACCTCCAACAGAAATTGTCGAGGAGCTCTGGCAATTTATCAAAGAAATGTATGGCCAGTTGGATCTTGCCAAACTCTTCACTTTACAGCAAAGTCTCGCTGACGTTAAGCAACAAAATCAGACAGTGACGGTCTATTACAATCGACTCTCGGCCTTACGGAATAAGCTTGATGTCATCACCGATCCTCTTCGTGGACCACCGGAAACACTGCAGCAGTTCCAACAGATCAAAGAACAAGATCGTTTAATCCATTTTCTCCTTGGATTAAACGAAAATTTCCTAGCCTTCTACACCCAAATGTTGGCCACCACATCACCGATGTCCCTCCGCCGTGTCTACCAACTTGCTGTCCAGGATGAGAGTTAACGACTAGCCTCCATGGAATCACCACGGTTGGGTGATTCCATGGCCTTTGCAACTGACAGAGAAACCAAAAAGGAAGGGTTGCGGCTAGGTTTTCCAAATGAGAAAGAGAAGGGTAATTTTATATACAAAGCAATGAATGGCCAGGATCATCTCCAGCAATCTGACAGCCCACAAGCAGTCAACCAAGTCAATGGAGTCAACAGTCAACTCGGTCAAACTTTTGGAAATTCATCTAATGGCTCATATTTCATCAACTCTCAAAGTGGATCAACTGGTTCAGGATCATTCCGATCGAATAGAAAAATGTATTGTGACTACTGCAAAAGGCAAAACCACAATCGGGACAGATGCTGGAAATTACATGGTTACCCTAAGAACAAAATTGGCAATCCGACCGCAAATAGTGTGACTGTCACTACCACATCAGGATCTGAGGCCCAATCATCCTTGATCAAGCCTGAACAAATCACTCAACTCATCCAGATGCTGAATCAACTCCCAACAAACAACGCTTCCGCTGGTTATGCAGGTACATCTTTTTGTTTTAGTAATTCAATTTCCCATGATTTATGGATTATTGACTCAGGTGCTAGTGATCACATAATTTGTGACCCTAAATATTTCCAATCACACACAAACACTATTACACAATTATCAGTTCGAATGCTGAATGGCAATATTGCCAACGCCACCCATACAGGGGTAGTCAAACTTACTGAAAGCATAACTCTCAGAAATGTTCTTTTTGTCCCTGCTTTCAATTTTAATCTCATATCAGTATCCAAATTTTGCACTGACAATGATTGCACATTGCAATTCCTTCCGGATATGTGTACCTTTCAGGACCTTTTGACTGACAAATAGATGGGTTTGGGTAAGGCCCACCAAGGTCTCTACTCCTGGGAGCCTTTTTTCTTTTCCTAGAAATAAAAACTATTATTGTAATGCCAATTTTAATAATAAATCTCGAATTTTCCATCACAGAATGGGTCACAGTGCATCTATACCTCACTCTAATTGTCCAATTTGTCCCACTGCTAAACAACCAAGAACAAGTTTTCCCATTAGCACATCCTCCACAAACCACCCTTTTGCCCTAATCCATCTTGATATCTAGGGCCTATACTCTGTTCCCAATCATGATGGATCCTAGTATTTCCTTACCGTCGTGGATGATTTTTCCTGCAGAACTTAGATATTCTTCATGCAATCCAAAGCTCAAGCCTTTTCTCATATCCTCAACTTTCTCTTCATGGTCCAAACACAATTCCAAACAAGGGTTCAAAGGGTTAGGATTGACAATGCTTTAGAATTTTTTAACCAGCAGTGCTCTTTCTTATTCCTTTCCCACGGGATTCTCCACGAGAGTTCATGCACTTATACTCCTCAACAAAATGGGATTGTTGAACGAAAACACCGTTACCTCTTAGAAGTAGCCCGAGCCCTCAAACACCAAGCTCATATCCCCGCCACCTTTTGGGGCGAATGTGTGATTACTACTACCTATCTCATTAATCGCATGCCTTCACAAGTTATTGGAGGTAAAACTCCTTTTGAATTACTGTTTGGAAAGATACCTGATAACACTCACTTACGAGTTTTTAGTTGTTTATGTTATTCCACCATAGTGGGTTCCCGTGACAAGTTTGCTTCTCGTGCCAGGAAATGTATTTTCATGAGATATCCTATGCTTCAAAAAGGGTATCGCCTTTATGATCCTCAACTTAACAAATTCTTTGTTAGCAGAGATGTTGTCTTCCATGAGAGTTCTTTTCCTTTCTCGGAAAGTGCCACTGCATCCCCTCCATCAGCTCCTACCTCATTGGATCATCAGCTAGATACTCCCATCACTATGGTTCCCATTCCGCTTACTCAGCTACAGTCTAATCATACTCCTGATTCGCATCCTAACTCCACATTTTCTAATACACCTCCAAGATCTCCCCACACCACAGATCCTTCCTCTTTAGGTCCCACTCATGATACTTCCCTACTTATAGATATGGCTATTCCTACTTCTTCACCAGCTACTGTTCCATACGTCGGTCTTCCAGAGCTACACGGCCACCTGTCTGGATGGCTGATTGCATTTGTTCCACTATGGAAGGTATTACTTATCCCATATCTAAATATGTCAGTTTTGACAGATTATCTCCTGGACATAGATTCTGTATGAGCAATATTTTCGTCGATCGGGAACCAGTCACCTTTTCTGATGTCGTTCGACATGATTATTAGCTTCAGGCCATGGAGACAGAATTAAATGCTTTAGTCAGCAATCACACATGGGACCTCATTTCCCAACCCTCACACAAGAAACCTATTGGTTGTAAGTGGGTCTACAAAATAAAATACCGTGTTGATGGTTCCATCGAAATGTATAAAGCTCGCCTTGTTGCCAAAGGCTTTAGTCAATGAGAAGGGTTTGACTATCAGGAAACCTTCTCCCCTGTAGCCCAACATGTTACTATCCGTAAATTCCTTTCTGTAGCTTCTTACCATGATTGGCCACTTCATCAGATGGACATCCATAATGCCTTTCTTCATGGGGATTTCAATGAGGAGATTTTTATGGATATTCCTCCCGGTCTTCGCAATCAGGGGGAGAATCTTGTATATCAATTACGGAAATCTTTATATGGGCTAAAGCAAGCAACGCGGCAGTGGAATGCAAAGTTCACAGAAGCTCTCACAGCCATTGAATTCACTCAATCCAAGCATGATCATGCCCTATTCTCCAAACAAAAGGGTGAGTCTTTCATCAGTCTCATAGTTTATGTTGATGACATTCTTATTACAGGAAACGACGAGAAAGCAATCACAGAATTTAAAGAGTATCTTCACAGTACATTCCATATTAAAGATTTAGGGGCACCAAAGTTTTTTCTGGGTATTGAGATTGCTCGTTCCTCAGAAGGAATATCCCTCAGCCAACGGAAATATGTGCTTGAACTCATTGCGGATTTAGGGTTAGGCGCATGCAAACCAAATGTCATTCCCATAGAACAAAATGTTAAGCTTACCACACACGAATATGATGAGAAAGCCAAAATCCTAAGAATGATCCATTATTAGAAGATAGCTCCAACTATCAACGGCTTGTCGGAAGGCTCATTTATCTTATCATGACTCAACTAGATATCAGCTATGTAGTTCAAATCCTCAGCCAATTCATGCATGCCCCAAAGCAATCCCACATGGATGCAGCAGTGAAGGTACTAAAATATTTGAAGGGTTGTCCAGGGTTGGGACTTCTTTTACCAAGGAAATGAGACCTCAACGTCACTGCATACTGCAACTCAGATTGGGGTTCATGTCCAATGACAGGAAGATCTCTCACTGGTTTCTGTGTTAAACTTGGGAAATCGCTTATCTCATGGAAAACAAAGAAACAATCTACCGTATCGCTCTCATCAGCAGAGGCAGAATACAGAGCCATGGCCAAAACCACATGTGAGGTCACATGGATTCTTAGATTATTACAGGATATGAATCTACAAGTGGAAACACCAATTAAACTATATTACGACAACAAAGCAGCCAATGACATCGCAGCCAATCCAGTCTTCCATGAAAGAACAAAGCATATAGAGATTGATTGCCACTTTGTTAGAGACAAGATACAGGAAGGTATAATTAAAACAGAGCACATCCGAACCTCAGATCAGCCAGCCGACATATTCACAAAACCATTGTGTCAGAGGCAACATTCACAATTATTGGGCAAGTTCAAAGTTCATGACATTTATAAACCACGAGCTTAAGGGGGAGTGTTGACATGTGAACGACTGTACAAGCCATATTTGGAAGATTTGTAATATCCTCCAAGTATGGTAGTTTAGGTAGAATTATATTATTGCCTTGTACGTATTGATTTACATTTATTTCCTTACATGTTACATTTGCAATTGTATAAATTGTAACTCTTGTACATGAAATATAATATACAAAAATCATTCTTCTCTCTTTCTTCCCTGCTTATACTCTTTCGGCATACTCAGCAACTTTAGTTGCTTCTCTTGCCTCTCTTCTTCTTGCACTCTTTGCTAACTCAGTTGCCTCTTCATGCTACTCCAATATCAGATTCTTACATCTTCAATCAGGCGCTTGAGTGACAAAAGAGAAGAAGATCCCGGTTGTACCTCAGCTCCCAAATTCAATTTACTGGCCGGTTTTAGTTGAGAGAAGAGAGAAGGAGATGGTTGAGAAACTGAGAAGAGAAAGAGGAGAAGACAGAAGAGTCCATGTCGAAGAGGATGCAGATGGAGATTAGTTTTAGGAATTAGGGATGTAGGCCTGGGCTACTCTTTTTTTTATACACGGGTATGGGTCCAAATTGACTGATCTAGTGTGAAAGACGCTTATATGAAACACAAAAAAAAAGTCATACATGGTAAGCTTAAAACCGATATTATCATGGTGATGCTAAAACAGTAAAACTTGCCAATCATGGTGCAAAAATTAAATGAAACTGTAAACAAGATGAAGGGATTTTTCAATTCTCAGAGACAACCCAAAGTCTAGAACGACAATCTGACATTATAATAATAATTAAAGTTAAATTAATCATTATCCTACCCCATCCACTACAATTTAAATAATCAGTTGAATCATCAAATGTAAAATATGAAAATACCAATTCTTCCTTCCTATCTGTGAAGAAAAAGTAAACAAAGAGCAAGAAAATCTTATGTCAAGTCCTAAGCATTTTATCTTTTCAATTCACTTCAACCTCAGCAGATAGGTAATTCGACTGAAGGACTTCTTGACCAGAAACTTTCGCCTGGGAAAGCTTCAGTACTTGCACAGCTTCCTCCACTTTGGCGGCTAACGACTCTGGTGACTCCAATAAAAGCAGGAGTTCCGAGTTGTCCATCTCCAAAAGCATCCCCGTTATCTTTGCAACAAGATCAGGCTGCACAAGCGTTTTATATTTTCAATATTATGTTGAATACATTTCTTAAACTAGAAACAATATGCAATATTTACCTGGTGTTTCTCCACAAGGGGATACAAGTGTTCGCCAAGTATCTGTTTTTGCTGCTCTGGAGTAGCAGCAGCGAGCATACTGTTCAGCATCTCTGGTTTTCGTGCTACCCCTTCAGCAGAGTTAGAAGCAGCAGATGTCACTCCAGATCCTTTATTCATATCACGTGTACGGCCATTTGGTACATACTTGCTCTGCCCACCCCGCTGTGATATATCAAACATGTATAACAAGTCATTAACAAAAATATCAATTTGAATAACCATTAAAGACGACATCATCTCTAATTTTAAAACTCAAATTAACGCAAGTAAAACCTGACATGCTACCTTAGGTTGCATTTAAGAAGTAAACAAGAATTTTGTTGATACAAATATAAGAATAAGAGACCAAGAATTAAGAGCTACACAGCAGTGAAGATGGAATAACATGAAACTGTAACTAGAGCAAACCCTAAAATGTCAGCACACGAACTTGATTGATAAGACTGAATAGTACAAAACACGGATCCAAACCTGCTGATTGCTTGAATCTTTTGAAGGCGCCACAGATTGACTGGGATGCTGCATATAGTGAGCACCAGTCTGTGGAAGCACATGCCCATTCGTCCTACCCCGGTTTTGTCTATGCTGTTTCTGATTGTGAGCCTGTTGACAAAAATTTAAAGGCCAAAGTAAGCAAGTTGTGTGGATAACCATAACCTAACAGAAGATCCCCACAGATAGTAGATTTAGTAAAGCTGGACAAGCACTCTTACAACTGAAAGTGTTGATGCTTGAAATGCTGGTCTGGCTGAAGGAGCAAAGCCATTTGCCCTCCATCCAGCCCTCAAACCCAATGGTTGGTACATCAGCCCAGGTCGTGGGGGTAATTGTGAAACAACACCAGAAGGAGCTGTATAGTAAAGAGGAGAATATCCACCAGGAATTACATTAGCTGAAGGTCCCGCTAATCCAGCCATCTGCTGTGCATACTGAAGCTGCAGTTGTACTTGTCTATCCTCCTTCCTTTGAGCAATAGCCACATACAACGGCTTGCGGTGAAACATATATCCTGTTAAGTATAAAATTAATAAATAACTGGCAGCTTAAATACCCAACATTTCCTTAAAATAATCAACAAGTTCTTTGCTAGAAAATATACTTCTTCACCAAATCCATGAACCTAATACATATCTTTCTACTAAATAGAGGCATAACAAGTCTGGGTATTAACATACCTAAGTTGATGGCTCACTTGAATCTTTCCAACTTTCATATTAGGCGGCATTTTTTATAATACTGGATGGTATAGATATCCGGCATAGATATTGAGTATAGCTTAACCATTGTATAAAGATGTGCAATCATTAAAAACACTACTTTATCTCCATCAATGATACCAGCATCATAGAATGACCCTTCATAGTAATAGTCACTATATCCTTTGAACCTTAATACAAAGAAACCTAGGTAAATAAAACGAGTACTGGTACATCTGATATGATTTATCAGGTTCACTACAGGATAATGGAAGGAGGGGAGCTTCCCTTCTTCCACGTTAGGGCACTGTAAAAGTAAACCCATTTTTAAGTCCCAAATCAAAGCTTTATCGACTTACCATGAAAAGTGCTCACAGCCTTGCTGGCCTCCTCAGGGGTAGAGAAGCTGACAAATCCAAAGCCCTTACTTATTCCTTTTTCATCTCGCATAAGTTTTGCGGAAGTAATGGTGCCACACTGACTGAAGTGCTCTCTTAGCTCTTCATCAGTGACATCATCATCAATGTTCTTGACATAGATGTTTGATCCCTACAATTTATACGAAGATAAGCAAGAATAAGAAGTAAAAACCATTATATGTAAATAAATCCGAGGAGTGAAATTAAACCAGTCACTACCTTGTATTTCAAGATTTTCTCATTACGTTTCTCCTCAAACTGGCGACGCAATATTTGCTCACGCTCTGCTTTCTTTTGTGCCCTTGCTACATACAGCACCTTTGACCCTACTCAAGAGGAATAAAGTGAAACAGGAGAACTTTATTAGGCCACTGTCAACTCCTCAATTAAGGCAAAATAATAATAATAATAATAATACAAAACCCACCAAGTTGTGATCCATTCATTGCCTCCAATGCCTGTCTAGCATCATCTGGATTATCGAAGTTCACAAAGCCGAAACCTCTGGAGGCCCCATTTTCATCCTTTGCAAAAGCCAGGCTAGCAATTTTCCCAAACTCAGAAAATTTCACTGTCAGAAGTTCTTTAGAAGTAGCCCGACCCTCAAACACCAAGCTCATATCCCGCCACCTTTTGGGGCGAATGTGTGATTACTGCTACCTATCTCATTAATCGCATGCCTTCACAAGTTATTGGAGGTAAAACTCCTTTTGAATTACTATTTGGAAAGATACCTGATAACACTCACTTACAAGTTTTTAGTTGTTTGTTATTCCACCATAGGGGTTCCCATGACAAGTTTGCTTCCATGACAGAATGTATTTTCATGGGATATCCTATGCTTCAAAAAGGGTATCGCTTTATGATCCTCAACTAACAAATTCTTTGTTAGCAGAGATGTTGTCTTCCTGAGAGTTCTTTTCCTTTCTCGGAAAGTGCCACGCATCCCATCAGCTCCTGCCTCATTGGATCATCAGCCAGATACTCCCATCACTGTGGTTCCCATTCCGCTTACTCAGCTACAGTCTGATCATACCTGATTCGCGTCCTAATCCACATTTTTGATACACCTCCAAGATCTCCCCACACCATGAATCCTTCTCTTCGGGTCCCACTCAGGATACTTCCCTACTTATAGATATGGCTATTCCTACTTTTCACAGCTACTATTCTTTAGTCGGTCTTCCAGAGCTACCCGACCACCTGTCTGGACGGCTGATTGCATTTGTTCCACTATGGAAAGTATTACTTATCCCATATCTAAATATGTCGGTTTTAACAGATTATCTCCTGGACACAGATTATCTCCTGCACAGATTCTGTATGAGCAATATTTCCGCCGATTGGGAACCAATCACCTTTTCTGATGTCGTTCGACATGATATTTGGCTCCAGGCCATGGAGACAGAATTAAATTCTCTAGTTAGCATCACACATGGGACCTCATTTCCCACCCTCCCACAGGAAACCTATTGGTTGTAAATGGGTCTACAAAATAAAATATCGTGCTGATGGCTCCATCGAAATGTATAAAGCCCGCCTTGTTGCCAAAGGCTTTAGTCAACGGGAGGGTTTGACTATCAGGAAACCTTCTCCCCTGTAGCCCAACATGTCACTATCCGTACATTCTTTCTGTAGTTTCTTACCATGATTGGCCACTTCATCAGATGGACGTCCATAATGACTTTCTTCATGAGGATCTCAATGAAGAGATTTTCAGGATATTCCTCCCGGTCTTCGCAATCAGGGGAGAATTTGTATGTCGATTACGGAAATCTTTATAGGGCTAAAGCAAGCAACGCGGCAGTCGCATGCAAAGTTCACGGAAGCTCTCACAGCCATTGAATTCACTCAATCCAAGCATGATTATGCCCATTTCTCCAAACAAAGGGTGAGTCTTTCATCAGTCTCATAGTTTAGTTGATGCATTCTTATTACAGGAAACGACGAGAAAGCAATCACAGAATTAAAGAGTATCTTCACAGTACATTTTGCATTAAAGATTTAGGGGCACCAAAGTTTTTTCTGGGTATTGAGATTGCTGCGTTCTCAGAAGGAATATCCCTCAGCCAACGGAATATGTGCTGAACTCATTGTGGATTCAGGGTTAGCTGCATGCAAACCAAGTGTCATTTTCGTAGAACAAAATGTTAAGCTTACCACACACGAATATGATGAGAAAAGCCAAAATCTAAGAGTGATCCATTATTGGAAGATAGCTCAACTATCAACGGCTTGTCGGAAGGCTCATTTATCTTACCATGACGACTAGATATCAGTTATGTAGTTCAAATCCTCAGCCAATTCATGCATGCCCCAAAGCAATCCCACATGGATGCAGCAGTGAAGGTACTAAAAAATTTGAAGGGTTGTCTAGGGTTGGGACTCTTTTATCAAGGAAGAGACCTCAACGTCACTGCATACTGCAACTGAAATGGGGTTCATGTCCCATGACAAGAAGATCCCTCACTGGTTTGTGTTTTAAACTTGGGAAATCGCTTATCTCATGGAAAACAAAGAAACAATTTACCGTATCGCTCTCATCAGCAGAGGCAGAATACAGAGCCATGGCCAAAACACATGTGAGGTCACATGGATTCTTGGATATTACAGGATATGAATCTACAAGTGGAAACACCAATTAAACTATATTGCGACAACAAAGTAGCCAACGACATCGCAGCCAATCCAGTCTTCCATGAAAGAACAAAGCATATAGAGATTGATTGCCACTTTGTTAGAGACAAGATACGGAGGTATAATTAAAACAGAGCACATCCGAGCCTCAGATCAGCTAGCCGACATATTCACAAAACCATTGTGTAGAGGCAACATTCACAATTATTGGGCAAGCTTGGAGTTCATGACATTATTAAACCACGAGCTTAAGGGGGAGTGTTGACATGTGAACGACTGTACAAGCCATATTTGGAAGATTTGTAATATCTCCAAGTATGGTAGTTTAGGTAGAATTATATTATTGCTTGTATGTATTGATTACATTTTTCTTACATGTTACATTTGCAATTGTATAAATTGTAATCTTGTACATGAAATATAATATACAAAAATCATTCTTCTCCTCTTTCTTCCTGCTTATACTCTTTCGGCATACTCAGAACTTAGTTGCTTCTCTTGCCTCTCTTCTTCTTGCACTCTTTGATAACTCAGTTGCCTCTTCTCTTCTGCATATTTCTCTCTTCTTGCACCTTTGCTAACTCAGTTGCCCTTCATGCTACTCCAATATCAGATTCTTACATCTTCAATCAGGCGCTTGAGTGACAAAAGAGAAGAAGATCCCGGTTGTACCTCAGCTCCCAAATTCAATTTACTGGCCGGTTTTAGTTGAGAGAAGAGAGAAGGAGATGGTTGAGAAACTGAGAAGGAAAGAGGGAAGAACAGAAGAGTCCATGTCGAAGAGGATGCAGATGGAGATTAGTTTTAGGAATTAGGGATGTAGGCCTGGGCTACTTTTTTTTTTTTAACACGGGTATGGGTCCAAATTGACTGATCTAGTGTGAAAGACGCTATATGAAACACAAAAAAAAGTCATCATGGTAAGCTTAAAACCGATATTATCATGGTGATGCTAAAACAGTAAAACTTGCCAATCTGGTGCAAAATTAAATGAAACTGTAAACAAGATGAAGGGATTTTTCAATCTCAGAGACAACTCAAAGTCTAGAACGACAATCTGACATATAAATAATCAAAGTTAAATTAATCATTATCCTACCCCATCCACTACAATTTAAATATCAGTTGAATCATCAAATGTAAAATATGAAATACCAATTCTTCCTTCCTATCTGTGAAGAAAAAGTAAACAAGAGCAAGAAATCTTATGTCAAGTCCTAAGCATTTTATCTTTCAATTTCATTCAACTCAGCAGATAGGTCCTGCTTATACTCTTTCGGCATACTCAGCAACTTTAGTTGCTTCTCTTGCCTCTCTTCTTCTTGCACTCTTTGGTAACTCAGTTGCCTCTTTGTGCTACTCCAATATCAGATACTTACATGGTATCAGAGCGGGTTGCCCTGCCAGCCACTCTCCTTGTTACGTGCCAATAATCCAACTCCTGTCCCTTTCCTTTTTTTCCTGCAAAACAAATTCAAGGATTAGTCATTCAAAACCAAATGGATCCAAACCAAACAAACCTAATTGGGCCTGATCCAACAAACAACCAAACTGAACCAAACCCACACACAAACAGACCCAAATATAGAGCCCAATCAAGATAACCAAACCAGGCCCAAACACCTTTCCTTTCGGGTTTTCGGCTCAAACCGGCCCGAACCCATTTCCCCACAAATTCTAGATCTTACAACCCCAATCTTGCCAGCCGGAGCCCGACGATCCCCTTTATTCCTTCGCATCAGATGGACCAGAGCTTGTTCTAGTTAAATACATTCTCATCGGCACAAAGAACTACGCGACCTGGGCTCGCGACTTCTGGCAACCTTTAATCGCCAAAGACAAAGACAAGTTTATAGATGGCACCGTCACACCACCAGAAGAACCCCATCTCCACAAACTTTGGACCAGATGTAACATGCTGGTCCGTTCGTGGATCGGCCACTCCCTAACCCAAGAGATTGCTGATGGTTTACCTCCAACAGAAATCGCAGAGGAGCTCTGGCAATTTATCAAAGAAATGTATGGCCAGTTGGATCTTGCCAAACTCTTCACTCTACGGCAAAGTCTCGTCGACGTTAAGCAACAAAATCAGACAGTGACGATCTATTACAATCAACTCTCGGCCTTATGGAATAAGCTTGATGTCATCACCGATCCTCTTCGTGGACCACCAGAAACACTGCAGCAATTCCAACAGATCAAAGAAAAAGATCGTTTAATCCATTTTCTCCTTAGATTAAACGAAAATTTCCTGGCCTTCTGCACCCAAATGTTGGCCACCACATCACCAATGTCCCTCCGCCGTGTCTACTAACTTGCTGTCCAAGACGAGAGTCAACGACCAGCCTCCATGGAATCACCACGGTTGGGTGATTCCATGGCCTTTGCAACTGACAGAGAAACCAAAAAGGAAGGGTTGCGGCTAGGTTTCCCAAATGAGAAAGAGAAGGGTAATTTTATATACAAAGCAATGAATGGCCAAGATCATCTCCAGCAATCTGACGGCCCACAAGTAGTCAACCAAGTCAATAGAGTCAATAGTCAACTCGGTCAAACTTTTAGAAATTCATCTAATGGCTCATATTTCATCAACTCTCAAAGTGGATCAACTGGTTCAGGATCATTTTGATCGAATAGAAAAATGCATTGTGACTATTGTAAAAGGCAGAACCACAATCGGGACAGATGCTGGAAATTACATGGTTACCCTAAGAACAAAATTGGCAATCCGACCACAAATAGTGTGATTGTCACTACCACATCAGGATCCAAGGCCCAATCATCCTTGATCAAGCCTGAACAAATCACTCAACTCATCCAGATGCTGAATCAACTTCCAACAAAACAACGCTTCCGCTAGTTATGCAGGTACATCTTTTTGTTTTAGTAATTCAATTTCCCGTGATTTATGGATTATTGACTCAGGTGCTAGTGATCACACAATTTGTGACCCTCAATATTTCCAATCACACACAAACACTAT